AAAAGTTGTGGGATAGTGTTCTGTGGACTGATGAAACAAAATTAGAACTGTTTGGGCCCATGGATCAACGCTATGTTTGGAGGAGGAAGAACAAGGCCTATGATGAAAAGAACACCTTGCCTACTGTGAAGCATGGTGGAGGGTCAATCATGCTTTGGGGCTGTTTTGCTTCTGCAGGTACAGGGAAGCTTCAGCGTGTGCAAGGTACCATGAATTCTCTTCAGTACCAGGAGATATTGGATGGAAACGTGATGCAGTCCGTCACACACCTGAGGCTTGGGAGACGTTGGACCTTTCAACAGGACAATGATCCCAAGCATACCTCCAAGTCCACTAGAGCATGGTTGCAGAGGAAAGGCTGGAACATTTTGGAGTGGCCATCGCAGTCACCAGACTTAAATCCGATTGAGAACCTCTGGTGGGACTTAAAGAAAGCAGTTGCAGTGCGCAAGCCTAAGAATGTGACTGAACTGGAGGCCTTTGCCCATGAAGAATGGGCGAAGATACCCGTAGATCGCTGCAAGACACTTGTGTCAAGCTATGCTTCACGTTTAAAAAGCTGTTATAAACTGTAAAAGGATGCTGTACTAAGTACTAAGATTGAATGTCACTTGGGGGTTGAATAAAACTGATAATGCTGTGAGCACAGAAAAGACATTTGTGGTTATTTCATTATAACTGTTATGTTATATTTGTCTGACCTACAAGTGCCTCTTTAATGTAAATGTAAGCAAGATGACTGAATGATCAAAAGCAATGTCAAACTGGCCAAAACACTCAATTTCAGTGGGGGTTGAATAATTTTGGCCACAACTGTACATGCAGTTTGGCATAGTGGCTAAATAACCAAAAATAACACTCATAGTATGCTTTCATGTTGTCATGGTGAACATTGAAGTTCCTCCTGGTTTTGGAAATATGTACTGTTTTCAAGTGCCAACGTCTGAGAAAAAACACAAAAATTGACAGGATTAATAGGCATGCTAGTTTGATATGAAAAATGTGCAACTTTTGAACCAACTTGCTGCTTATTAGACCGAACCAGGGGCGGACTGACCATTTGGAAACTCGGGCACTGCCTAAGGATTCGGGGTCAGTAGGGGGCCCCATGAGATGCCCCTGGTACCTTTTTCATAGGCTTTTTTGAGTTTGGGCAAGGACACAGGGGCCCCACGATCCCCTATTGCCTGGGGGCCCCATGAGTTGTCAGTCCGCCCCTGGACCGAACCGATGATTTTAAGTAATTTGCCTAGGGCTGAAGAAGCTGCAAATATTGTAAATATTATAGCAGGTAAAACCACATATACCTTTTTTTAAAGTGCAGTTTGCTTGGAGTTTCACTTTAAGGTAAATCGAATAAACCTTCTGACTTTAGAAAAACTGCAGTATTTCTCAAATAGCATTCACTAATTGGTTTAATGCATTCCTTGGAATAAAAGTGAGAGCTGCACTGGGGAAGTGAGGTTAGATTAATGTATTATTGAGGCATGTAATTCAAAGCAAAATATTACATGAGTGTACACACCTGCTGAGATCTCCATCTTTTAAGCATATCTATTCATGCTTATTCCCTCATTCATACCTGAGCATTTTGTCATGTGATTCTCAAAGTGCAGCAATGCTCAAAATGAAGAATCTCATTATTGTCAATAGGCCTCTTCACAACAATTGTGCCATCTGTCGTGTGAAGCTTGGAAAAGTGTTCTTTAAAGGTTCCTTGTTGTAGAATTGCACACTTTTGGCCCTTTGACTGTAATGGGAGTGTCTGGAAAAACATGCTTTACTTGTGTTTTTCAGGTGCTTCCATTTTTAAAGTTTGAAAGCCAAAAAACAAGCAATTCTGCTCCTGTACTGAAATTTGAAATGAACGTACCAAAGAAGAAAAAAAAAAATCTCCATAACACCTGCCTATGCTTAGGCTAAGTGTGAACGTGGGCTAAAGTGTATGTCAGGGCAAAATATAAATATAATATATACAGTGGTACCTTGACCTATGAGTTTAATTTGTTCCATGGCCGAGCTCATAGCTCAATTTGCTCTCACATCAAATCAGTTTTCCCCATTGAAAATAATTAAAATGCTCTTAATCCGTTCCAACCCTCATTTCTAAATAACAAATATTGTATAGAAACATAATAGAGTATGTAAAGATATAATAAGGTTTTATACAGCGTACTTACCTTGGTTTCTTCTTTTCTTATCTTAATTTCTTATCCTAATTTTCGTCACTGTCTTCGCTTTCACTGGTTCTTTCACCGGTTCTTTCTTTGAGGTAAACACGTGAAGAGACCATAAACATGTAAAGAGACCGTGAAAAGACCGAGAGCGCGTGTTGGAGGCGTGTCTCGGAGGCTGGGATGTTGTGGCGTCACAGCTCACTACGCCATCTAGCAGCTCCGTCTCCAGCTCGTACCTCAATTTTTTGCCACGTAACAAAGCAAAATGACTACTCGTACCTCAGAAAACTCTTACCTAAATGCACTCGTAGGTAAAGGTACCACTGTGTGTGTGTGTGTGTATTGAAAAAAACACACACATTCAGTAGATTTCTTCAATACATGCACTTTTCCACATTTTATTCCTTTTAGAGACCCTGCAAATGCAGAGCAATACCTGTTGATAAGTCAGGAATGCATTTAAGAGCTATTTTTCCTGTTGTGGGCTGACAACACAGTGAATTTTCTGGACTGAAATTGCAAGAAATGGTGTCAGCCCTGCCCAGCTGCCTTTTCTAAACTACAGAATCTCATTTCCTTTATTTCCACAACATAAAAAATAACTGTTCTGAGGTCCAAGATAACAAATGAGAGGTTATTTGTTACACTTCTCAATCGGCTATAACAAAATGCTCTCAGTGGTACATGTAACAGACCAAAAGGTACAAAAAGAGAAGTTCTTTGCTAGGGATTACAGAAACTTTAATAAAAGTTAATTGACTAGTTGCCATATTCTTTAATGCCTATTTATTTTTTTTTTTTTTTTTTTAGAATTGTGTTATATACAAACATAAGTAATTTTAATTTTTGTTGAATACCTGTTTCATTTTTTTATTTTTTTACAATCTGACATTTCCTGTTTTTTTTTTTCTATTTACTGCTTCTAGATAAAGCCATGTCTTCTCCATAAAAAAAAAAAAAAAAAAAAAAACACACGTTCGTATCACTTATATATTTTTACATGGCCACTAATGTCATGTGAAAATGCAATTGTGGAAAAAACACACCGAAAGTAGTGTTTAATGGAAGTGAATCTGGTCTTGCTTACTAGGAAATTTCCATAACCAGAATTGAACAGTCCCGCAGTGCAACCATACATGCAGCATTGGGAACATGTTACATGTTGCACTTTAAAGGATATGTTCACCTTTGGGAATGTTACATGTTTCACTCGTTTTTAATCTGTTAAATAAACCATTTGTTATGTGCAATAACTGCAGAAAAAAATGCGTGTTAATTCTATCATAAACTTGGAGCTTGCCTTGAGTCCTTTTGCATACTTCTTTCACTATTTCAGTAAGCCTAATTAGCCCGTCTAGTTCTTATCTTGGGACCCCAGAATGATTAATTCTCTATGAAAAAAGTCACCAAACATCCACTATCTCCTGCGCTCAAGGACTCAGACCAAACAAAAGTTAATAACGAACAGTGTGTTCATCCACTGTTGATCAAAGGTTGTGCAGCTCTATCATGAAGCTGGGGAAGTTTGATAAAACTGTAGAAGGGGATAAAAAGAGCGCACAAACCTTGCGCATTACCTCAGTAAACAATGTAAAATTTTATTTAGGAAATATAGTCACAAGAGTAGCGATAAAACAGGCATAAAATAACCATAGTCCACACAGGGTTACAGGTCAATCCAAAGGGGAGATAAATCTAATGCTTTTCGAAGGGTTATCCCTTCATCAGTGACACTAAACAGGCTGAAATGCTGTAATACTGACACTGAATGGCTGTCTCCTTGCTATGGGAACTCTGCCAAATTGAAGTCTTTATCTGTCAAACCCAGCTCTGATGAAGAAGGGATCACCCTTCGAAACACGTTCGCTTTTATCTCCCCTTTGGATTGACCTGTAACCCTGTGGACTATGGTTATTTTATGCCTGTTTTATCGCTACTCTTGTGAGTATATTTCCTAAATAAAATTATTTATTGTTTACTGAGGTAATGCGCAAGGTTTGTGCGCTATTTCTTTTATCCCCTTCTACTGATTAATTCTCTATGTTGCCAACCATAGGACAGGGATAAGGTTTGAGTAGTTTAACAATGGAAAACTGGGCAGGGTTAATATTCAGTCCATGAAAATGCTGTGCTGCCAGACAACATAAATTAAAATCGGAGTGCATTTATGGCACAGCAACAGGTCTATTTCTGTACTTGTGGGGTCGTTGCATAGATGGGGACATGGGAAAGCGTACTGCTTATATATTTTTTTAAATTTTGCCATGATATACACTTTACATTTGCTAGTGTAGATGAACATGAACTGATCTGCATTTTTTATTTTTTACCAGATAGTTCAGCAAGTGATGATGGCAGCTGCATCCTCATTTATGCCAGATTTTTAGAATCTGCTTCCATTTAACTTATTGCTCTTGCAGATATAGTAAAAAGTATGCCATTTTGTTGCCAAGTGCAGGCAGATCAGACTACGCCTGACCCTAGAATCTGCTTTTCTGAGAAAACTAAAACTGGCTTTAAACACTTTTCTAGAAGAATAATTCATGCATTAGAAGCTTATCTGGAGCTTGTCTTTTTTTTTTTTTTTTTTTTTTTAAATCTACATGGTGCCCCTGACAGAAGTGTATTTGTAACTAATAACCTTTCCCCCCCCATCAGCCTTCAATGACTCGAGGGGGAGAAATGTTCTTTTGTCCAATGCACAAATATTGTTACAGCAATTAATTGTTTCTAAGCACTGTGCTATATGCAGAGAGAGCGAGTTACAAAGAATCAAGGTCACTTGTCTGAATGCTTGTCTGTTTTCTTATATCTGAATTCTAGGGTCTGTCTGCAGAGACACAGAATGGTTTGGAGCCATGCATAAAGAGTGTCCACTGCTCAGATGGAATAATGTTACCTGTGGATCTGACTTTAATTGAGGAACTGGAAAAAGTATATAATGCTGAGATGGCATATGCCACATTCATCCCATTTTCCTGTCTCATTGGTGAGTTGCAAACATTGAGGCCACACAGTAACATGCACTCTCAAGGCAATCAAAGGACAAGTCCCCCCTTAACATGCTACAGGAACACTGAAAATGTTTCTTCTATAACGTTCCGTACAAATATAGGATTTAACCCTTTTTTTCTGACAGAGGAAAGGGAGTTCTTGTGTTCACCAAGTATACTCACATGCTTGCATCACAAACTAGCTTATTCAGAGTTGATAGGGCTACAGATAGTTGATTTATACACTTGTGTTTTCCAATATAAGCCCAATGGTTTGTTAAAGGCCAAAACTGCTATTTCAAGCACAGCTGTAATAAGAGAAATACTTAGGCTGCCTTTTTTAATCTTGTAGATCTGGTTAAATCATACAACTATCAGTACGTTTATAGGCCTGTATGAATAAAATCCTGAAATGCCATATTGTACAGCAACTATATAACTGAAACTACATTTTAGCATTAAAAGCAATTCTTCAGCCTTATCGCAGTGACGGTGTATAGACCTAAGAAAAGCATCTGCTAGCAATAATGTCATCGGCTGCTGCAAGTAAGAGGAATCATTTCTGTGGTCTTCCCTCCTCCACTGATCACTTACTATGTCTGTTGTAAGATTGCAACTATCTGGCAGCTTACAAATTTAGAGGTTCTAAAAGATAAATTTCTTTAATTAAAATAACAAACTTGTTATACTTACCTGCTCTGTGTAATAGTATTGCACAGAGCAGCCCCTTACGTCCTCTTCTGGGTTCTCCCGCCAGGCTGTCCACTCATTTCTCTTCTGTGTGTGCCCCCAAAGCAAGCAGTGGGCTATGAGGGTATATGTATGAGTGTGCTCCCTAAGACAAACACAGCGCTCTCGGCCCCATCCCCTGCTTTCCTCACAGGATGTGACTAACGCAACAGCAGGAGCCAGTTGAGCAGGTGTGCTCACCAGCAAGTGGTAAAACCTTTTTTACCCTAATGCAGGGAATACATTAGGATAAACAAAAAAGGTTTAACTTTAGAACTACCCTGTTTCCACGAAAAGACCTACCCCAAAATTAGGACCTAGTACTAAGTGACAATCCCTCTTGTAAGTAACGGCACCATCAGCTCCCACAGAACCCCCCTACCTCTGTACTCACCGTGGGACAGGGAAGGAACAGATATCTGATGGTGCAGTGTGTTTAGGGGTGGGGCAGGGCATCTCATCCTGCAGCCTAATGCATGGAAGCCAATGCCCCAGGGGTGATCCCTGGCCAGTAGGAAAGAGGCGGAGTGGTGAGTGCACTAGGTGGGAAGATAGGACCCGAAGCTCACTTCTGCATCCCTTGCAACTCACCCCTGCACCCTGTCTGTGGCTCATCTCTGCACCCTGTTTGAAACTCACCTGTCAATTTACCTCTCACAACTGTCATTTGTCATCAGCCAGCCCTCTCTATAGTAACCCTGATCCACAACTGCCTGCAGCTCACCTCTGCACCCCCTGTCCACACCTGTACATGAAAAAAATATGACCTACCCCGAAAATAAATAAGACCTAGTGTTTTTTTTAAATTTTTTTTTTTGAGCCAAAAAAAATTATGACAGTCTTATTTTCAGGGAAACACGGTACTTCAAGGCAGCAGCAGGGAGCTAATCTGTGAAAAAGTAGAAGAACTTGGTACATTAAGTCTACTATTCAGGTACCAGGATCTGCGTGATTTTATTATAGATGACACCTAAATTAACATCATGCCAACATTCTAGGGAGAAAGGACGATTAGGGAATTGTTATTGTTTTTACCATTACCAGCTTGTACGTATAGTAAAACATTTCTCAGTCTAACCACGCTTACCGTGAAGCATCCCTTCCTTATATTGATGGTAATTTTTTTTTTTCTTTCAAATGCAACAGGTGTTCCTTTATCCATAATAGAGTTCTTGTACTAAACATTCTCAAGAATTGTCTATTGGCCTTTGAAACAAGGTGTTAAAGCTCAACTCCATTCAAACCGCTTAATACACAGACAAAAAACATATAAATGAATGATTTTACCTGGCAAAGAATTTTGTACATCTGTCCATCCAATTGGAAGATTGCACAGCTCTGTCACACAGTGCATCTGTATCTGGTGGGGCAGGAGGCCTGATTTTTTTTTTTCTACTTAACCTCTGGAAGATTTTACCTTCTTCATGATTGGGATATTTTGGGCTATTCAGCACTGCACTACTTTAACTGACAATTGCACAGTCATGCAACATTTTACCGCAATTAAATTTTTTTTATATGTTTTTTTTTCCAAACAATTAGAGCTTTCTTTTGGTGTTTTTTTTTTATTATTATATAAAACTGAAAATTTAGGGGGGGGGGGGGAAATATCTTTAATCAATTTTTTTATAAATTTAGGCCAAATGTATCTTGCTACATAGGTATTTTTTTTTAAAAAATTGTATATTAATTGGTTTGCGTGAAAGTTATAGCGTCTACAAACTATGGGATATGTACCTGAATTTTTTTTTTGCGGTTATACTAGTAATGGTGGTGATCAGCTACTTAGAGGGACTGTGATAGTATGGCAGGCAATCTGACACTAACACATTGTGGGAACTGCCACTGACCTCAACAGTGGCACTAATACAGTGATCACACTCGCCACTTTATTAGGTATACCTGTTCAAATGCTTGGTAACACAAATTGATAATCAGCCAACCACATGGTGGGAGCTCAATGCATTTAGGAATCCTAAATGTGGTGAAGATGACTTGCAGAAGTTCAAACCGAGCATCAGAATGGGGAAGAAAGGGGATTTAAAGGAAACGTTCACCTTTTTTTTTTCTTCTAAATTCCAGCTCTCCTGTGAACCAATATAGCATTAATGTACTTCTTTTGCAGGAATTCAAAAGATGTTTTTACCTTAACTTTCATTTTGCATAGATCCTTCATTTTGGCAAAATGTGCTGAGCGATCAGATAACAGCCTATGTGGATAGAGCTGTAGTACTGAAAGCAGGAAAATTATGTTCTGGGTTCTGTGAAGCTCACCATACACCAGACAATCTGTGCAATCTCCTTTAGATCTACCAGAAACTATGTAGTTGATTGGGGGGGGTACACAAAAAGGTGAACTTATCCTTTAAGTGACTTTGAACATTGCATGGTTGTTGGTGCCAGATGGGCTGGTCTGAGCATTTCAAAAAAACTACTGATCTACTGGGATTTTCACACACAACCATCTCTAGGGTTTACAGACAATGGTCAGAAATAGAGAAAATATCCCGTGAGCGGCAGTTGTGTGTACGAAAAAATGCCTGGTTGATGTCAGAGGAGAATGGGCAGACTGGTTCGAGATGATAGGAAACAGTAACTCAAATAACTACTCGTTACAACCATGGTATGCAGAATACCATCTCTGAACGCACAACACATTAAACTTTTAAGCAGATGAACTACGACAGCAGAAGACCACATTGGATGCCACTTCTGTCAGTTAAGAACAGGAAACGGAGGCTACAATTCACACAGGCTCATCAAAATTGGACAATAGAAGATTGGAAAAACGTTGCCTGGTCCGATGAGTCTCGACATTCAGATGGTGGAGTCAGAATTTGGTGTAAACAACAAAAAGCATAGATCCATCCTGCCTTGTATTAATGGTTCAGGGTGGTGGTGGTGGTGTAATGTTGTGAGGGATATTTTCTTGGCATTAGCAAGGTTTACCTAATAAAGTGGCCACTGAGTGTACACGGACACTGTACTAATGACACTGGCTGGGAAAGGGTTAACATCTAGGGACAATTAAAGGCTTAACTGTTTGCCTACAACGTGTAAATTGTTTACTGTGTGGTGCTTTTACTAAGGGATGTGCTGGTTTTGTATTCCCTGCTTTGCAGGGAGACAAAAACCGCACATCGCCGCTGTAAGAGAGCTCTGTGTTTTACCCACACAGAGCTCTCTCCTGTCTCTTGCTCCGCATGGTCACGGCAATTTCATTGGCTAACCCTGTGATTGTGCTGGAGCATTGCATGAAAGTAAAAAAACCTTCAGCCTTTACCCACTGTAAGCGTTGGCTGTGCTTCTTAAAAGTGTCTGCACACTAGGTGGCTGAAAACATGCCCCTTTGGCAAAAAAAAAAAAATGCACATAGTGGTTTGTATGGCACAAGAGTTTGAGAGTTTATGGGCATTTTGAGCCCCCCCCCCCCCCCCCCCCCCCCAAAAAAAAATATTCCCCTATGCTCATTTTTCACTATAATCTATGTACACTTGAAAACTCCCAAACGCTACATTTATGAACACTTAGGCACATTTATAAGCTTTCAGGTGTTTTTTGAGCTCAAAAATGACTTTTCAGATTGGTAATTTTAGAGGATTTTTTTTTTGTTGGGGGTTTCTAAACTCCTCCCCTGCCACTAAATTCCTGAGACCACCTGTAGTGTATGTGGACACATAGGGTAACTTAGAGGGGAGTATAGAGGTAGGAAAAAAAAAGCTCAAACGGCTGTAATGTTTTAGCCTCCTATGCTCAGGTTTTGTGACTAGTTTCAGAACTGATTGTGAGACCAGAAACTGCAGCACAACTGGCGTAATGACAGCATGCATATATGAACCTCAGATGTGTGTGTGTGTGATATATTGTGAGAAAACATTTTGTCATGCGGATTTGGTAAGTTATCAGGTGACATATGTTCAGTACTGGATAATGATATGTGCACATGTATTTTTGTCTTCCAGGTGATGTTATTAACCAGTTGGTTCCAAACCATGATTTAATATGGAAACTCACAATGGTTTATCAAGAAACAGTTATTCCAAAGGAGATTGATAATCAATCACTGCCCTGTGAGTACAGCAACAGAACAAGTGTTCCTCTATACAGCTTAGAGGAAGACACCCAGTCTGGCACCTTTGGGAGTGTCATGGTTGGAAACCGCATTCAGGTCCCAAAAGACAGTCAGCCATCACCATCAAAATCCACTTGTCGCAGCCCTGTAGCAGAGAACTTCCAGTGTGATGATAACACTTTTAAGCAGGATCTTCAGAGGAGTGCCCATGGGCTATGTGGAAACTGGCTGGCATACTGGCAGTATGAGATCGGCGTGAGCCAACAGGAACCTCATTTTTACTTTCACCAGATCAAGCTCCAAAGTTTTATTGGCCATTCTGGAGCCATCAAATCTGTTAAACCTCTCAGCGGAGAAGATTTCTTTCTAAGCGGCAGCAAGGACAAAACAGTTCGGTTGTGGCCTTTGTACAACTATGGCGATGGCACCAGGGAGATTGAACCACGTCTTACTTATACTGAGCACAAGAAGACTGTGTTCTATGTAGGCCAGCTGGAATCTGTGCAGCAAATAGTGAGCTGTGATGGAGGAGTATGTATATGGGACCAATTTACAGGTATGAATCAACACATTTTTAATAATATGGTGATAGCACATTAAACTGATTTATATTTCTGTAAGCATTTACCTATGTATCAATAGTTACATCTGTATATAAATAATAGATGTGGTTCTGTATATAAATAATAGATGTGGTTATTACTCTTTACTGTACATATATTTGTATTTGTTAAAGCTGAAGTTTATTCTGCTTATCTTTTTATCATCCTTTATTTCTCCTCTCTCCCCTCACAAGCATGCTGAAGTTAAACCTTTCTGTTTTAATTACATACTTTATTTTAGACCCAGTGACATCATTGCTGTGTCTTTGTGCTTCTCTGTGCAATGCAAACAGATCATAGTAGTGAGGGGCCAGCAGGGTGCTGTAGGTAGCTTCAAGAAAACGCCTCAACAGCCTACCTCGGTACTCCTCTCAAGTCCTGATGTAAACAGGGGGCTTGGGAAGATGTCAGTATGGAGGGATTGGACCTTTCTAGGCATACTGTATTTGCATGCAAACTGCCCAAGGTTAATCTGAAAAGTGAAGGACAGCTGCCATGCTTGAAAGAATTGAAACTAATGAATAAAAGGGGTGGCCAAAGGCAGTGGGGCTGGGCTAGATGATGATGGATTTTCTCCAGCCAGGAAATTAGGAAGGATGTAGCTGACTTGCCGCGGCTTCTACTATTAATGAAGTTGCTTACCTTGATTTCACTGCACATTGTGAAAAGCCCACAATGTGCAGTGAAAACAAGGTAATCCACTTCAGTACAAGAGAAAAGCTTGTGCAACTGTGCAAGATTGAAGGTAAGACTGGAATTCAGAATTAAATGATAAACCATTATATAATGACCTTTGTTTACCAAGTACACCCAAGTGTGTATCATCTTATTATCAATCACCCCCTTTCACTCTGAACATTTAAAAGCAACTGCCAAAAGGGTGACTGAAGAAAATGGGATAGCCCTAAAATAGTTCAGTGATGCAAAATACATGTTTTTAGCATGCTAGTGTTATGCTGCAGACAGTGTGTCATACTAACACACTGGCCCCTGCTGCTTCCCGCAAGTAGGTAGCTGCTGTAGATATTCTAGTTAAGGCATTTTATGGCATTATCACCATCTTCCTCTTGTGAATTTAGCTTTTTTATTTTATTGTAAGTACATCATGGGAGAGTAGGCTATAATCATTACTTATCTGGGTTATGTGCCACTTATAGACGAATGGACACTGGCAGACCAAACCAGACAGGAAGTCTTCCCCTAAATAACCTCCCCCACACACACAGGAAGTACATCAGTTTCTTTGCTAGTGTCTGGAAGGTGGTGGTCACTGAAGTTCAGTTCTCTGTGGGAATGCTGGCTGGTCTCAAAAACTGTTCTAATAGGGCTTATCGGGACTGGATAAATTGGATCCATTTTGATGGCTGTATGCTAAAATGGTACCTGAGCCTTGTATGGAAGATGAAGGACTCAACAAGGTTTTGCCTGTAACGTGACCGATTTTCCGGCAGGGTGCTATACAGATCCAAGGGAGAGGACTCCAGAAAACCATAGGGGGACCGAGTCCTTGAAGGTCCATAAGTGACTAGACCCGCTGTGATGGGTAAAAATTGTGTATCTATTAGCAGAGCCCTGCGGTGGGATTGGGATTTTTTTTTAGGGAAAAAAAGAGAAAAGAGACGAGCAAAGGAAAAAGGGTTGTAAATTTTAATACCTTCATTTGTGTAGGGAAGACAAAGAATTTGGCTAGGCCTAGGAGCCTTATTTTGGACACTAATACTACCTATGCAGCCACAGCAGCGGCAGCTTGTCGGCAGGGCCAGGTGTTCAGTCTGTGTCCTTTTTTTTACTTTTTGCTGCCACAGGGCATCGGGAGCATTGCATCTGTATTGTGTAAGTGTTCCTAGCTGCTTTCCTTTTACATGTTTGTGGAGCTACTGACAAAGGTCACAGGCAGTAACCATTCTTATTTTTTTTTCAGCTAAAATTGTCAGGAGTCCAGGCCTTCTCACCGGATCGTGGGGCCTTGAATGCGCAGTAGTGCCTTTTTTTTGTATGTGGCATGCGCAGTAGCGTCTGGAGGCTGCGGGCGGCCATCTTACTTGGGTGGATTACACGTGTAGCTGCTGGAAGTAACATAGACCATGCTATCCTTTTGGGCACTTGAGTCCTTGAGCGGTGTGTGGTCACAGGTGGCAGTCTGCACTGGTTTTTGCTTTTAGTGTTGCATCTGTTTGCTGTCTGGGCTGTGATGGTTACGAATTGCTGGATTAAAGCCTTGCATGATGGGGTGGTGTACTGGTGGGTTAGGTGTATTTTCACAAGCCCCAGTTGCATTTTGTAAATTCGCTGTAGAGTAAGCAATGTCTTCTTGGAAGCGGAATGGGGGAACCACAGCAGGAAGGGGCACGTGTGCACCACAGTCTAGTCCTGAGGATCCTAGTCAAAGTGCCACTGTGGTGGCTTCCCCTGAAAGACCATAGGCGACTGAGCAGTCGGAGCTGCTTTGCTTTTCTGGCATTGTGGCTACTACCAATGCACCTGCTTCAGCATATGTTACTATGGGAGATTTAGCATCAGCCTTGGCTGGATTGGAGAATAAAATAGGTTGCATGATTTCCACTGTTACGCACAGAGGTAAGAAGCATTAAAGATTCCCCTCCCTGATCCTCTTGTTTTGGAGTAGGAATGGGTAGATTATATGGAAGAAGTGGATATTATTGATTTGGAGGAGGAGGGGGGGGGGGGGGTGTTTTGAGGAGGGCCAAGCATCGTTGGCCTCTCAGTCCCAGAAATTGTTGATCCAATCTCTTACAGAAATGGTCTGCTCTGGATTCAAATTGCCGTCACTGGAAGCTTCTGAAGCCTCCTACTCTTTGGGTTCGATGCGGCCTCCACAGAATGCTCAAACCTTTCCAATGCACCCGCTTTTAGAGCAGATGGTATATGCTGACTGGGGTCACCCAAATAGAGTATTTGTTCCTGCCAAGAGTTTTTCCCTGCTGTAACCCATGGAGGAAAAATTTGCTATGAAATGGAGAATGACAGTAGTTGATGCAGTTGTATCTTCCCTGAATAAAAAGTTAACTTGTCCAGTGGACAATGCCCAAGTGTTTAAGGATCCGGATGATAAAAGGTTGTAATCTTTACTAAAGGCTTATTTTGCTCTTGCTGGGTCCGCTGCGCAGCCTGCTGTGGCAGCAATTGGTGTGTGTCAATCCCTGAAGGACCATGTTTAGCAGTTTATTAAGAATCTCTTCCTGGTCAGGGAGAGGATTCTGCTGAGTAGGTGGCATATTTGCCCCGCGCCTTGTGCTTTGCCGTGGATGTCCTTAAGGATTCCATACAGCAGGTTTCACGATTGGCTCTGCTGTCATTGCACATGCACAGAGTCTTTTGGTTGAAAATCTGGTCAGCAGAAATTGCTGGTTGGATTCCCCTTTCACGGTGAGCACCTGTTTGGCGATGATTTGGATAAGTACATCCAGAAAATTGTTTGGGGGGAGTTCTCTCCTACCAGGTAAAATGAGAAGTAGACATCCATCTTTTAAGGGCTAAAGTACTCCTGCTGCTAGTGCCTCATTTGCCAGGCAGTTTTGGTAATCCTCAAGATCAGGGGCAGAGAAAGCCATGGGTTCAGTGGTTCTAAGGCTTGCCTTAAGCCCTCTTTATAAAGGGACGCCCCCACTTGTATGGGTGGAGGGGGAGGCTTTTGCAGTTTTCAAGTGCCTGGCAAGAGGTGATCCAGAACAAATGGGTAATTTCCACAATTTCTCAGGGGTACAGATGGGCATTCGGATTCTTCCGCTTCCCCTGTTTTTAAAATCCAACGTACCCACAAATTAGCTGAAGAGAAATTCTTATGTTCCCAAGGGTTAATTGTGGAAGTGCCTTGAAGCAAGAGGTTCAGTGGCTTCTACTCAAACTTGTTCATGGTTCCAAAGTCAAATGGAGACATAAGGTCTATACTAGATCTCAAGGCTCTGAACTGATTTCTATTTGTATGTTGCTTTCGGATTAATCAGTCTGTTCAGTAATAGCCTCGCTGCAGATAGGGGATTTTCCAGCGTCTATAGTCATCAAGGACGCATACCTTTTTTATGTACCAATATTCCAACCTCCTCAAAGGTTTTGGCGGTTTGCAGTGGAAAGTTGTCATTTTCAGTTTGTGGCTCTGCCCTTCGGGCATGCCACAGCCCCTGGACTTTTCACAAAAGTTTTTGCTCCAGTATAGGCCCTACTAAGAGCCTAGGAAATATCGGTACTAGGGTATCTAGATGACCTATTACTCAGGGAACTGTCTGTCTGTTTTATGCTTAAGGTGAAATGTGGCTCATGCAGTGCATGTTCTAAAACACCTAGACTGGATCGTAAACTTTAAAAAGTCGGCCTTAGATCCAGTTCAAAGCCAGAAATATTTGGAGTTGGTCCTAGATATGGTGCAGGCAAAAGTATTCCTGCGTCCGGGTAAAGTGCTGTTCTCTGAGAGATCAGGTTTGAGATGTGAAGAGAAAAAGATATCCATCTGAATGCCTTTGCATGAGGTTGCTGGGGAAGATGGTATCTGCATGCAAGGCAGTTCCCTATGCACAGTTCCACTCCAGACCGTTGCTGAGAAACATTCTGTCTCTCTGGAACAAGAAGGTCCGAGCACTGGGTTGTCACATGTTTGTTCCCCAGAGTAAGGCAGAGTTTTAATTGGTGGTTGGTGGCTTGGAATCTGGAAAAGGGGGCGTATTTTCTTCCGGTGGTTTGGAAGATTTAGTAACCACGGATGCCAGTCTGTTCGGCTAGGGGCTGTTCTGGAGGGAGCCACAAACAAAGGGAAGTGGGCTCGGCCAGAGAAGAGTCTGCCCATCAATGTCCTGGAACTTCTGGCGGTTTGCTTTGTGCTGAAATTTTGGACGATCAGGTTTCACAGATATCTAGTCAGGATCCAGTCCAACAATGTCACGGATGTGGTTTATATTAACCACCAGGGAAGCACCAGGAACCAGATGGTCTAGGAGGGGGTGAATTACATTCTAGCTTGAGCGGAACTACATGTGTTGTCTCTGTCATAAGTTTACATTCCTGAGGACTGGCAAGTGGATTTTCTCTGTCGCCCACATTTGTTCCAGGGAGTGGTCCCTGCACACAAAGATTTTCTTGGCAATTTGCCAGTGTTTGGGTATGCCAGACGTAGATCTCTTGGCATCCAGGTTCAACAACAAGGTGGACAAGTTCATATCCAGAACAAGAGACCATTCGCATTCGGGGTGAATGCTCCGGTGATTCCTTGGGATCATTTCTTCCTAAACTTATAGCCTAACCCCCCCCAATCAGTCACTGCCATGCCTTGTGCACAGGATCTGGGAAAAAATAACACCGATAATTTTGGTAGCCCTGACCTGGCCCAGGAGGGCTTGGTACGCATATATGGTCCATGGACTCTTCCATTCAGACCGGGCATACTGTCTCAGGACCCAATATGGCACCCTGAGTTCTGTTCGCTAAATTTGATGGTGTGACTATTGAAGCTAGAATCTTGAGGGACTGAGGGGTCTCAGGTCCAGTTATTTCTACACTGTTGAACACTAGGAATGTGGTTTCCAGAAACATCTATTACATAGTCTGGAAGTCTTGCATTTCCTGGTGTGAGGCCAAAAGATGGCATCCGAGGAAATATGTGATTGGGAGGATTCTGTATTCTCCAATCAGGTGTGGAGATGATGTTGGCCTTGAGCACCATTAAAGGTTAGATTTCAGATTTAAATTTTTTTTTCTGTTTTTGTTTTTTATTGCAGTCGCTTCGGCAAGAAGGGGTGTCGGAGCTGGCGGCTCTTTCAAGGAGTAGGTCCTCGGTATTATAACTGTGTCTCCCATCCCTCAAATGTATTGCTTTTGGGATACCCCAGATAGTAATGATTATAGCCTGCTGTGTGTTCCATGATATACGATAAAGAAAACTGGATTTTTTTTTTCTACACATACTTACCTGTAAAATCCATTTCTTGGAGTACATAACAGGACACAGAGGTCCCTCCCCTCTTTCTGGAATTTCATTGGCTTGCTACAAAACTGAGGTACCCTCCTGTGTAGGCGGGGTTATTCTTAGGTCTGTGTGTAATAAAGGGTTTATGCACTGGTGTGCTCCTTCTTTTATGTTTTCACTATAAGAAGATTGTTGTTGCCTGTCCTGTTCAGACCTTTGTTTTCTCTGCAGTTTGCCGAAGACTGGCTTCATTTAAGTTGTTCTAGTGCCCAAAAATGTCCTTCACACCGGATGTGACGGCCAGATTCTCTATTGTATGTAATGTAGAGACCTGAATTAGAACTCTGCACTCTGTTCCTAGATACCACTGAGAAGGCAGTTGATTGCCCCCTCCACATTCGGGGGTACACCTGAGGCAGAGCCAGCTACAGGAGAGTGGACTTCTACTGCACTGAAACTTCAGGCTCCATTGCAAGTAAACCTCTTTTCTGAGAAGACGGGAACATGTACACAGCCTCAGTAGAGCCTGCATACTACCCGGTGTAACCCCTGCAGGGGCTTCTGAGGAGTTTGAGGAGTTTTTGAGGGGAATTTGCTGGCTTTATACTGTTTTACAGATATATGCAGTTGGTTGACTATGAAGGACCCACATGGTTAATATTCTTTCCAGGTCCCCAGTGTGTTGTAGGGTGGTTTGGGTGCCTTGTTTCTGGGCAGTAAATACTGCCTTATCCCAAATTTATGATGGATGTTCATAAAGCCACTGTCTATAGTCTTTTATGAGAGAGAGAGAGATCTTCTGTTCAGTCTGTTCCCTTTGCACACCATCTAGTGGCTGGTTTTTATATGGCCGCTTCTGCTCAGTTGCACCAGTAACTGCTTTCAAATTGAAATGAACTTCTGTGTTAATTGGTAATTCATACCTGGTTACAGTTATGCTGGATTTCATGGGTCAAACTGCAACTCTTATTGCTGAGTCTGACCACAGAGGCTGTAAGTGTACCTCCACCTCTTCCCTTTTAGAATTCTCTAAACTACCTGTGGTCTTAGTGGCCTCACAGCCTTTGGCCACTGAGTTTTTGTTTGTTGGGGATTCTTAGAAAATCCTTGGCATGCATCATTGGCTACGAGGAGCCACAAACTGCTGCCATTGCTCGTAGGCTTATGGAAACCATTCCAGCTCTTACTAATGTGGTGCACGCCACTTTGAAACTGGAAGGTCAACCTATAGCTTCTACACGTGCTGCTACTTTTTAGGATCCCTAGGGTGTTGACACCCTGTAATCCCAGCAGTCCTTTATAGAAACTAGGAGACTTCTGGCAGGGCCTGCATTGAAACCTGCCCTGGCTGTGTTGCCAGTTTGTATATATGCCCCTAATGTTTGACAAACTAAAACTGCGCATAGGATAATGTAATGTAAGTATCCTCGCTCAAATTCCCAATGCATGCAAAAATAATGATGGTGATTTTTTTTTTCCAAAAGGGGATACAGACAACCGTAAAAAAAACTTTTGAGGAACATGGTATAATAGTGCTGGGCCTGTAGGGTTGCCTCATTGTTATTGCTATATTAAAGTATTGATGCAATTTGTTATTGTAAATGATCTGGTGGGCAGCTTCTACATTCCAGAAGATCTCCACAGTCTTCATGGCCTGCAGTGTAATGCAACAAAAATTTAAACTGAAGAGCCATACCACTGCTAAGCGGTCCAGATACAACTTTATTTTGATAAGTCAGGGGGCAATCCAGTGAGTATCCTATGCTTTTCAGGGTCCAAGAGCGCCCCCTTCATCAAGGCTTGATTGACAACAATGTGAATAGACTAAAAGTGTACTGGACCTTTAATTTTTTCCAGCATGATTTGAAGGAAAGGCATTGCCAGCAGATGGTTTGGCATGTTTGGACCCCTGAAACTCATTGGCTTCTTTGTGGTTTTTCCCCTGATTTTTATCAGAATAAAGTTGTATCTGGACCTATTAGAAGTGGTGTGGTACTTCTATTTAAATTTTTGTTACAGCAGTAAAAACTGACAGGGATTCTCACCATTCAATAGTTTTTAGTATCTTAGAAGCTCAGACTAAACTAAATGAAACAAACAAACATTGTAGAATTATTGATTTTGATTTAAAGTAGCCCAAAAGGGAGATTGTGTTTTAAAGGGAACAGAATGGTACATTTAGATATGGTAGCAAAAAAAAGATGTATGTTACACTTTTAGAACCAGCGTATGTTATAAATATACCAAATATTACTGTGTGTATTGCCAGGTAAGGTGTGTTATGTTTTATATTGCATTGAAGGTATGTCATTAGAACATCATAATTATCTTAACAAAAACTTTCTTTTCAATGTATTTTGTGTTTATAGGTAAAACCATTCGCACCTATGAGGCTGGAGATACAAAGGTACCCATAACCGCTGTGGCGACAATGCCTCCACCTTATTGCAGTGTGACATTTGGAAGCTCTGACTCGATGCTTCGTTTTATCGATCCTCGGAAGCCAGGACTTCAGGTTCTTCATCTATACCATTTTGTTCATCATTTTTTCTTTGCCAAAGATTTCGATATGGTTTCCTGTATTTCAAGTTCTCACTATCAGAGTGTTGGTATGTTGCGCTAGGGGTGTGGAAATTTTTAAAAAACTACTTGTCCAAGGGACTAAATCGGTGTCTCAATCTACTTGTCCAGATAAAGTTTTTTTTTTTTTTTTTTTTTTTTTTTTTTTTTTACCAAAACCTTATTTAAATCGGAGGTGATATTAGGAATGTTTTAAAAACAAAAGGGGATTTATGGCGACTCCAGCACCACACTTGGGGACTAACAGGGAGCAGGGAGGAGACACCATGCAGTGTAATGATGCACTGATTGGGTGCTTGTCAGGCAAGGGGAGTGTCAGGCTTAGCCTTTATCCCTTTCGCTGCCAGAGCTGTTTTTGTGTTTTTTGTACATGATTAAAAAAATCATTTTAGGTCTGAAGATTACACAAAACCCCCAAACATGGTATATTTTCTTAAAGCAGAAACCCTAGGGAATAAAATAGTGGTAGCTCCAATTTTTTTATGTCGCATGATATTACCGCTAAGTTAATTCATTTTACGGCACAAAAAAAAGCAATAAATTACCCTGTTTTTTTGTAAAATATAAAAGATGAGGTTGCAGTGAGTAAATAGATATCCAACTTGTCAAACCTTAAATTTGCGTGCACTTGTGAAATGGCGACAAACTTCAGTACCCTATAATTTCTATAGGGGAGGCTTTTAAAGCCCCTTCTAGGTCATCAGTATAGTGTTAAGGAGGAGGTCTGGTGCTAGAATTATTGCTCTCATTCTGGTGTGTGCGGCGATATAGAACGTGTATCGCAATCAACGTTTTAATTCGTAGTGCTTTTATATTTTGTACATGCGTGTGTGTGTGTGTGTGGGGGGGGGGGGGGGGATGTTATGTGCTTGGGTGTAACTTTCATTTTTTACAATTTAAAAAAACAAATTTTTTTTTTTTTCGTCACATATGTGATATTTTTTGGCGACCGATTCTCTTTATTGAGACATCCAAGTCTAAAAGACCCTGGATATCTCCCCTCTGCTCCCCTGAATGTAATGCATTGCACTGCATTACATTCTTTCCCTGTCTCAATTGCTTGGAATCTCTCAATGGGGAACTGGAAGTGCCATCATAACGTCACTTTTGGGTCAGGATAGGAAGGGGAGGGGAGCCGACGTGTCCACTCTCCTCCCTCCTCTCTAGCCAGTGGCGGTGAGCCGGTCCCGGGCCCCGCAAATGGGCAAGCGGAGCCCGGGAGACAGTGGATGGGGGGAACTTCACACGGGGGGCGGAGAGGCTGGCACTGTGTGAAAGCATTCCAGCGGCATTGCTGCTGCCCGAATGCTTCCACCTGACAGATGAGCCCCGCTGCTTGCTCGCAGCAGGGCTGATGGTAAAAAAACCCTACCTGCCTGGAACTACATGTTCCGGGTGTCCGGCGATAGGAATTCAACATCCCTGTGCATACTATGCAGTTTCCTGGTTAATAAAGATTCCCCTCCCCGATCCTCTTGTTTTGGAGTAGGAATGGGTAGATTATAAGGAAGAAGTGGATATTATTGAGTTGGAGGAGGGGGGGGGGGGGGTGAGTCTGTGTTTGAGGAGGGCCAACCATAGTCGGCCTCTCAGTCCCAGAAATTGTTGATCCAATCTCTTACAGAAATGGTCCTCTGTGGATTCAAATTGCCGTCACTGGAGGCTTCTGAAGCCTCCTACTCTTTTGCGTTCGATGCGGCCTCCACAGAATGCTCAAACCTTTCCAATGCACCCGCTTTTAGAGCAGATGCTATATGCTACCCTAGATAGTGTATCTATATAAAGGTGTATACATCAGATACATATCAAAAGAAATTAAAAAAAAATAAAAAATATATAAATATATATATGAAATAGTGAAAAATATCTGTGTAATCTAATCTAGCATACAGCATGCAACAAAACGCATGACACAAAATCCAAAACAGAAAAAATTAAATATGAAAAACAAGAGTCCAAAATGGTGCTAACAACACCACGCAATCCAAAATCAAGATGTACACTCGTGCTCGTGGATAGTGAATGTGGGTGACCACAGATGATTATCCGTAAGTGGCTAGATTGGCCTCTCACCTCATTGCTTCGACCTGCAGGGGTCAAAACACTTTTGGGATCACAAAAAACTGGATCCTCCATGTATATGATTCCTCTGTCACAGAATACCTCTCCCTGCAACGATCTCCCTCTCTGGGGTATGCGTATTGGTGGCGATATCCTATCCAGGTGTACGGTTAAGATGTAAGCCAATATCTCAGTAAAAGACATGAGTAGAGCTTCCCATAGTTTAATACCTTTTATTGCATTAGAAAGTAAGCAAAGTATTCCCATTTTGTACTCTGTGTTTTCCTGCTCAACAATTTTCCAAAACCTCATGCTCTGGCTGTATTTGCATGGGTGTATAGTTGGGTGTAGCAAAATGGCATCCGTGCTGGAAGTGCATTTGCATTTATTTGATCATTGGTATATGATTGGATGTTAGCAACTTCTTTTTGTTTTTTTTTATCATATTATAGGTAGAAGCGCAGGAGGTTCACACCACTATTTCTTAACCATAAAGTGGAATGTCAGTTTAAAAAATACTGTACTTCTGACTTTTAATAAAAAGACCCTTATCAGCTTAGGGATCCAGTGCTATCTTCACCCAGGACGGTACATCTTTGGATCCCCAGCACCACTATGTTGACTGCGGGAAGTCTGCTGTGACTCCTTGCGGCTTCATAGCAAGCTCTCCACTGCACATGCTGCACTGCGATCTGTGAATGGTCTTGCAGGCTGCTGGGACCTGTGGCGTGTCCCAGAAGGTTATGGGGTGGGGGCAGAGGTGGGGGGTTGTGGGGCAGTGACACAAAGTCAATTCCCCCAAGTGTCAGAATGCCTGCCGCAATCCCTGATCGCCGCCGTTACTAGTGAAAAAAAAAAAAAAAAAAAAAAAAAAAAATCGGAGTGTGTGTATATATACCGCTGTTTGTAAACGCTGTAACATTTTATGTAAACCAATTAATTTGCACGTATTGGGATTTTTTTTTAGCAAAGACATGTAGCAGAGAATACATTTTGGCCTAAATTTATGACGAAATTTGATTTTTACATTTTTTTTTTTTTTACTGGACATGTTTAATAAAAAATCAAAAATATTTTTTTTTTTTCCTCAAAATTCTTTTTTTTTTTTTTTTTTTCCTTTTATAGCGCAAAAAATAAAAAGCGCACAGGTGATCAAATACCACTAAAAGAAAGCTCAGTTTATGGGAAAAAAGGACATAAATTTAATTTGGGTGCAGCGTTGCATGAGCACACAATTGTCCATTAAAGTAATGCAGCACCATAATGCAAAAAATGGCCTGGCCAGGAAGAGGGTAAATCCTCTGAAGGGCAAGTGGTTAGGAAAAGGGTCCACAGTGGCGCCTGAAACATCAGTGTATTATGCTTATTTGTGCACATTTTAGGTGTCGTCATTGTAATATGAATTAAATATAATTATGAGGTCAGCGGGTTGAATGCTGGCTTTTTTTTTTTTCTAAGTTTAAGTTTTTTTTTTTTTTATAGTGTCAACATTAGCCATTCACTTCCACCAAAAAATTGGGAGCAAGGGTTTGGTGATGGATGAATTGTTATAAGGTTCTCTTAAAAGACTGTTTTAGTCCTGTGCACCACTACAGTTTTCTTATTACTATAGCAGCTATGTCAATTAAAGATTAAGGGTGTTCTTCTTAAAACTTCCTCCCTACCACAGTAGAATAATTAAGCACGTTATGCTATACTATATTATACTATATTCTTGATAAACTTTGTATAAACCCTTCTACTACTAAACTTTATTCATGTCCTTCACATTTGAAGATCGCCAGGTATAATAGGTAGGGAGTAATCACTATAGTAGGTGAGGTCTAATATCAGAATTCCAAAATACCTTAACGATCTACCCTAAACCTTCATATTATAAAAAGCAGAAATGAGGAACAAGGACAATGTCTCCCTTACCCTACCCTCTGCTTTACAACATATTACCATATTAAAGACTACTGTTGTTCCTGTCATTAAATGCCATCAGTTTCACTTTTGTTAAATGTAAACTGATTTATCTCTGCTCTCTTCCTTAGCATGAATTCAAGCTAGCCAGCAATATGAATGCAGGCCTCATCCGTTACCTGGCAGTCAGCCCAAACGGCCGCAGCGTTATTGCAGGTTATTCATCTGGATTCATTATATTGCTGGACACCAGGACTGGTCTGGTTCTGCGAGGGTGGCCTGCACATGAGGGTGATATCCTACAGATGAAGGTAATATAAATGTTACTCAAAGGAACATGTAATATATACAGTGGACATAAAAATTCTACACACCCCTGTTAAAATGTCTAGTTTCTGTGATGTAAAAAAATGAGACAAAGATAAATAATTTCAGAACTTTTTCCACCTTTTTACTGTGACCTATAAACTGTACAACTCAATTGAAAACAAACTAAAATCTTTTAGGGGGGGGAGTAAACCTAAAAAAACCTAAAATAATGTGGCTGCATAAGTGTGCACACCCTCTAATAACTGGGGATGTAGCTGTGTTCAGAATTAAGCATTCACATTTAAAATCATGTTAAATAGGAGTCAGTATACACTTACCATTATTTAAAGTGCCTCGATTAACCCCAAATAAAGTTCAGCTGTTCTAGTAGGTCTTTCCTGACATTTTCTTAGTTGCATCCTACAGCAAAAGCCATGGTCCGCAGACAGCTTCCAAAGCATCAGAGGGATCTCATTGTTATAGGTATCGGTCAGGAGAAGGGTACAAAAGAATTTCCAAGGCATTAGATATACAATGGAACACAGTGAAGACAGTCATCATCAAGTTGAGGAAATATGGCGCAACAGTGACATTACCAAGAACTGAACATCCCTCCAAAATTGATGACAAGAAGGATACTGGTCTGGGAGGCTGCCTATAGGCCTAGAGCAATATTAAAGGAGCTGCAGGAATATCTGGCAAGTACTGGCTGTGTGGTACATGTGACAACAATCTCCCGTATTCTTCATATGTCGGCTGTGAGGTAGAGTGGCAAGACGGAAACCTTTTCTTATGAAGAAACACATCCAAGCCCGGCTAAATTTTGCAAGAACACATCTGAAGTCTCCCAAAAGCATGTGGGAAAATGTGTTCAAGTCTGATGAAACCAAGGTTGAACTTTTTAGCCATATTTCCAAAAGATATGTTTGGCGCGAATAAAACACTGCACATCACCAAACGAACACCATATCCACAGTGAAGCACAGTGGTGGCAGCATCATGCTTTGGGGCTGGTTTTTCTTCAGCTGGAAACGGGGCCTTAGTCAAGGCAGAGGGAATTGTGAACAGTTCCAAATACCAGTCAATATTGGCACAAATCTTCAGGCTTCAGCCAGAAGGCTGAACATGAACAGGAACTTCCTTTCAGCATGACAACGACCCAAAGCATACATCCAAATCAACAAAAGAATTGGCTTCACCAGAAGAAGAATAAAGTTTTGGAATGGCCCAGCCAGAGCCCAGGCCTGAATCTGATCGAAAATCTGTGGGGAGATCTGAAGAGGGCTGTGCACAGGAGATGCTCTCACAATCTGACAGATTTGGAGTGTTTTTTGCAAGGAAGAGTGGGCAAATATTGCCAAGTCAAGATGTGCCATGCTGGTATACTGATACTCAAAAAGACTGCGCGCTGTAATAAAATCAAAAGGTGCTTCAACAAAGTATTCGTTTAAGGGTGTGCACACTTATGCAACCATATTATTTTAGTTTTTTATTTTTACTTCCCTCCACCTAAAAGATTTCAGTTTGTTGTTCAACGGAGTTGTACAGTTTATAGGTTACATTAAAGGTGGAAAAAAGTTCTTAAATTATTTATCTTTGTCTCACTTTGTTACATCACAGAAACCTGACATTTTAACAGGGGTGTGTTAGCTTTTTATATCTAATGTATGTGTATATAATTTGTGCCCAGACCAATGAACTCATGTAAAGTGCAGATGAAGCAAACTTCCCATGAGGGAAGTCTATAAAAGATTCCAGCTATAGGGTTTGTAAGCATACACTCTGCTACAAATCATTTCATGTGTTGCATCATCCTATCCCAAATACTGGTCTTTACCTAGTGGCTGAGGTTACATTGATGCTTGCATAGTAATTTGAAACATTTCTCTGTCATAGATAAGGTTTCTGATGCTTTTTCTAGTTGTAAAGCTGAATGAAAATTCCAGGAGACAAGTCTTTAAAACTTACTGTACAGTACACACTAATTCTTATAAAATAACTGTATTACCTTGGATAGCTTTACATTAAAGTCTGCATGCAGGTTGACCGCCATTGTTACTGCTCTTATTAACCACGTCTGTGGGGTTGATTTACTAAAACTATTTTAGTATTATCACTTTTCTCACTAAGTGCATCATTGCTTTCAAGATTTAACAGAAAGGAATTCTATTTTGGCCAAAAAATATGAAACCTGCCACAACCACAAGGTAGACTCTTTTGAACAGGATCTTGCACTAACACGAACTGCACTACCATTTCAAAGAGACAGCCCAATCCAGCAAGGACACAGCTTAATCCAGCAAATAGACAGCCCCATATATTTAGCAAGAGACATCCCAATCCAGCAAAGAGACAGCCCCATATATTCAGCAAGAGATATCCCAATCCAGCAAAGAGACAGCCCCATATATTCAGCAAGAAATATCCCAATCCAGCAAAGAGACAGCCCCATATATTGAGCAAAGAGACATCCCCTTCTAGCAAAGATACTCCCCTCATAGCAAACATCCACCAAGACAGATACCAGTGCTCAAATCTTCTTACTGCACTGAAAATAAGGAATCTAGCACTGGCTGAGGTGCCGCCCTTGATATATCGGGAAATCTTGATACTAGTAGAAAAGAACAAAACGGGGTGCACTCTCTTTATGCATTACCATGATGATAAGAAATTTATTATAAAAATACAAATGCATACTCACAAACCAAAACAGTCATAAAAACAGAGGCAAGGAGTCAAAGATGCCAGTCATGGGCAACAGAGGTCCTCGGGTAAAGTGCTATGTGATGATAAGACCCCAGCCACTCCCCCTCTGTGCAAAAAAGGGGGCAGAATCCTGCAGGTGACGCCCAAAAAAGAGGAGAGGTGCAAAGCTTGGATAGGCATATAATAAGTGACTGTAATTTGGCAATAAAAAGTGCTTACCAGATGGCCTGATCAAAGCGCCTAGGATGTAATGCATTATGAGTAAAAATAAATGTGACTACAGTGCACAGGGATGAAATCAATCTGTTCCTTTAAATAGCAAAAGATCCCCATCTTCTATACATATTCCCTCATGTCTGGAGGTTATTTTTCATCGCCCACATGATCTCAAAAGCATAATAGCCCCCAGTAGGATTAAACATTTCCACAAATGCCCCACTACCAAGTGGAGTACCTTATTTGACCAAAAAGGTAGCTACGGATGTGGGGTGTCCAACTGTGGAGCATGTGTATACATGCAGCATAGAAAGAGGGAATTTCTTGGTGTAGATGGAAAGACTCACTTGATTAAACAGTTAATAAACTGTGGCACACCGTTTGTAGTATACTGCCTGGTCTGCCCTTGTGGGCTCTTATATATCTTAGCCACGGCACCTTCTGCCTGGAGTTTGCATGTTCTCCCTGTGCCTGCGTGGGTTTCCTCCGGGTACTCCAGTTTCCTCCCACACTCCAAAGACATGCTGGTAGGTTAATTGGATCCTGTCTAAATTGGCCCTTGTATATGAATGTAAGTTAGGGACCTTAGATTATACGCCCCTTGCGGGTTAGGGACTGATGTGAATGTACAATATATATGTAAAGTGCTGTGTAAATTGACGGCGCTATATAAGTACCTGAAATAAATAAAAAAATATGTGGGCCGCACCTCACGCTCACACGCCGTGTCCGTGGATCGTTATACATGCCTCCGGAATCTAGTGACACATTTTTATTGGCGTTCTCATTCATACACGTTTCAGACGCCATGACAGTCAGCCCATCCATCCACCCCCCAGTAAAGCCTGATGTCTTTGCTATTTAAAGGAGCAGATTGATTTCACCCCTGTGCACTGTATATGCACAGAGTAAAGTCACATTTATGTTTACTCAATGCATTACATCCTAGGCACTTTGATCAGGCCATCTGGTAAGCACTTTATATTGCCATATTACAGTCACTTATTATATGCCTATCCAAGTTTTGGACTTCTCCCCTTTTTTGGGCGTCACCTGCAGGATTTCACCCCCTTCTTTTTTGCACAGAGGGGGATTGGCTGGGGTCTCATCACTTAGTTTTATATATAAAAACCATTCTAATGCATTGTTTTATTGCACTGAGGAAGGTAGTTCGACTCCCGAAACGCGTTAGCACTTTACCCGAGGACCTTTGTTGCCAATGGCTGGCACCTTTGACTCCTTGTCTCTGTTTTTATGACTGTTTTGGTTTGTGAGTATGCATTCGTATTTTTATAATAAATATCTCATCATCACGGTAATGCACGAGGAGAGTGCGCCCTGTTTTGTTCTTTTCTGCAAACATCCACTAAGACTGCACAAAGTTTGCACTTTTTCTACAGCATAGTACAGCCTGCAAAAGATGAGAGTGAATAAAGCACCCATTCCTGAGGCTAAGGTTGTTCCCATGACATTCCCGATCCTGTGCTTGCTGGCCCCTCCCCATCTCGATTGTGTCCGTGCAGGACCAATGGCTGAGGCAGGATCCCACTATGCTATTCCTGGTGCTGTGCCTACTGGCCCTTCCCCCTGGTCTCACTCGGCTCCTCTCTCCAACTCCACAGTTTAGCGGCAATTGTCTCGAGTACTGGAGTGGTGTTTCTGCGATTGCCTAGGAGCTGGAGGATTTTGTTCATTGCGGGGGCTGGAAGGAGAGAAGTGGGTGGAGGCAGCTAGATAAAGGTGCAATTTTTGGGCCCCCTAAATGTGTATGGGCTGTCCTCCCCTTATCGCGGCCCTGAGGCTTACAATTAACAACTTGCCGACCAGCAGTTTAACTTTTACCGCAGGTCGGCAGCTCTGTTCCCACACACTTCTGTATTTCCACGTGCGCATGCCCCCTACTGCTTGTGCTGTAGTTGGACACAGCACAAGTTTGTCAGCAGGCTTACAGCCAACAATTTTGGCTGTGGCCAGCCACAGAATACAGAGAAATGTGTTCGTAAACTCACAACCCAGATCTGGGTGGTTCTGCTTCCTGATCTCACTTACCATTCAGAGTAGAATTCAGGAAGAAAAGCCAGCC